ATTTCAATCTGCCTCAGTTTTTGTCTTGGGAGGTATCTTTCTTCTCTTTATCCCACTCCTCTCTCTCCACTGAGAGGTTTATCTCAACTTTCATGCTCCACTTCTGTGCCTTAGCAACTGAAATTCCAGAGCTCTTGTTGATCTTCACGTATCTTCTGTTGAGGGTACACTCTTTAGTGTAGGTTTCTAAGTACTCTGATAGTGATATATACTATGATACACTACAGTTAGTGGCAAACTGCCTTGTATTTGAGGATGTCTTGTATGACTTAGGAATGATTTTTAATTCTCCTCTTTCAGCCCCACAAGCTTGGCTTATTGCCTCTGAATATTCAGTGAAGACCCATGGGAAAGAAGGTAACAAGTGGGTGCATACTTGTGGGGCTTCTCAGAATTTATAGCTGTTTCATTGGTCTACAAGAGGCCATTATATGTTACATTCTTGATGATTTTCCCCTAGCCCTGTCTACTCTGCCTGCCATGCTACCAAGAGCTGTTATGGGTGTCTTCTAGTTATTTTCTGGACATTGGTTCAGTTAGGTCTCTGAATTCTAGTACACTGACAGGTTCAGTTTTTCTAAACTTACCCAGGTTGTTTACATGTATTAGGGTAAGACGGATGGTTTCTTGAGACTTTTTGTATTCTAACATTACACGTAGGCTCCATTTCTGCCTTAAAAATCTGCTGCAATAGCCAGGCACGGTGGTGCAGGTTTATAATCTCAGTTCTCTGGTGGCTGAAGCATGAGAATGGCAGCTAGTCTGAAGTCAACCTGGTCTACACAGTGAGTTCAAGGCCAGCCCAAACCACTATAGAGAGCCCTTCCTCAACATGGGCCAGGAAGTTTACATTTGTAATCCCATGGAAAAGTTACTGGAATTCTAGAGAGTTCCAATCTACCTCTCCTAATGCAACCCACAATGTAAACAGAGACATAATTATATATCTAAAACCCAAGGGGGTCCTAAGTCCAGCTAGGATAATGGCTAACCAGAACAAAGGCCTCGACCCAGCACCGAACCCAGATTTTATTAATTTGTGAAGAAGGGAGTGGCTTGAGGTTGGGTGATTATGAGAATGGCAGGAAGTACATGAGTGCTGTGAGCTGGGCGAGGTAGGAGGCCTGAAATCACCTCTGCGATATACAAAGACAAGGATATGCAGGAATAATCTGCATAACACAATTCAAGGTAGTATTTAATGTTTTGGGGTCTGATGTGAATTTTTTAATGCCCTGGGAAGTCAGAGCCTCTTTTTGGGAGCTATGGGGGTGGGGTAACGCTGACCTGTAGCCTTGCTTCGAAGATTACATATTAGCACCTCGGCTGGACTGATTTGCACTGCTTAAAGCCAGTTAAAGGGATAAGGAAAAGTCCTGGCCAGCTCTGTACATATCAATACATGGAAATAGGGCCAGGTTTAGCCAAATGGAAATAATCACTCTTCTTTCAAGGACAGTCATCCAAGTGATCCTCCACAAACTACCTAACAAGACTGTCTCAAAAACATCAAAAAAATCTGTTACAATCGTCATTATTCTTGGGGAGTACTATGCTTTTTTAATTGTTTACCCTTAAATATGTACATAAGTTTCCATTTAGTTGGGCAATAATAATTTCATTTTCTAAGCACTGTGTGGGGCACATATGAAGACTCAAGTATCTATGAGTTATTTTTACTCAAACAAGAATTGGTTATACTATTATCCTAGGATAAATAAAATTTCCCACTTCTTTTATGTGATGAGTCATCCTTTTTGACTGACTCAGTCTACCCTTGAACTATACAGGATCCTTAAAAGAAATATTCTGATCTATCTAAGTATATACACGGGAAGTCAGATAGTGAAAGGGAATGATTTAAGAACTGCATAAAAGATGCATTTCATATTTCTGGAATGTTTTACCTACCACACAATGTGATTGTGTTTTTCCAATCACATTTATCTGCAGTTTGAGGAATATTTCTGATTTATTTTGTAGCTGAAAAAGTCTCCACTGATTTGTATCAATACATGATTTAAAATAGCAATACTATATAGCACTGCCAACCCAGGACATAAAGTCTGTTTCTAGATCTCAAAATTCTGAAGTTCCAGAAAGTGTCCACCTGTACTGTCTAATTAAAAGCATGGCATACCATAGTGACTAAGGTAAATTCTTATTGCAACACTTTCTAGCTACTGTGGGCAAATGAGTCTCTAAATTTTAGTTTTATCCCTGGAAAAATGTGCTAAGAATGATGCTCCTGAGAGCCCACCACAAATATTTTAACATACTTCCCTAGAATACCACTTTCCAATACAGATAGCACTGGATTCCTAGAAATAAAGTAAGTAAAATTCTACTGGGAAAAAAAAAAAAAAAAAAAGCAGCTCACAATGCAAAATTTGGAACATGAGAAAAGAATGTATTATGAAGCACCAGAGAAGATCATACATAAACTTCAAAAAAGAGAACTATTAAAAAAAAGAGAGAACTATTACACATACAAAATAAAGTACTATATGTTTGGCAGAAAAACCTAAAAGCATACAAGAATGTGTACATACCAAGCCCCTACCAAAACCACCAAGGCAGATTGTAAAAAGAACCAGAGATAATGTCTAGGAGAGAGAAAAAAGGGTACTCTGAAATCAAAATCTTATTTTTATTTAAAACAGCAGATTAGATATAAAGAAAGAAAAGAGACAAGAAGCCTTCATGAAGTACAAGGAGATGTATAATGTGGGAGAGCAAAATTTGAAAAGATAATGGCTAAGAAGTTTCCAGAACTGATGAAAAACATAATCTGCTGATTTAGTAAGCGTAATTGTTGGAGACCAGGCTGTACGGGGTTAAGCTGCTGAACACAGGGACCTCTGGCTCTTTGGAAAAGAGCATATGCATAGTGCTCTGAGGTTAAGATAACACCACAGCTGAGGCAGCCAAGGACATGGGCTGCTGACATCCCATTCCAGAGCAATAAAACTGCCAACCTTAGAGATCAAACAGTTCTCTTAATTGTCACAATTTACTGCCTGGAGAAGTCTTTGAACTGACTCCAAAGGTCCTGCTCAGTTCACTCACTTGCCTCAGTATCCCCTTCCTTTGTTTGAAAACCAAATAAGAACAGGCTGTCTGGTGCAGATCTTTGTCTTTATTCCTGAGAGACTTCTGACTTTCCTGGAAGCCCTCCAAATCACACTACTGGTCTCTCTTATTTAAGCCGTGCAGGCGATTGGGGCTAACTCAAGACGCGATACACAATGAATCCCAAATAATAAAATGTTACACATAAACACATTTTAGTGACTTTGCAGCACACCAAAGACAAAAGGATCTTCAAAGCAACCAGTGACAAATCACATAAGACTGAGACAGACCTTTGTTTTTTAAATAGCAACAAGAAGCCTGCTAGCATAAAAGTGTCTTCAAATTATTTAGAGACAATAGCAAGTATCCCATCTCAGAACTTATGCAGAATTAAATTTACAAGTGAGGGTAAAATAAAGATATTTCAAACCAAGAGCTCTCACCAAGGAAAACATGGGTATTTGAGAAACATTTTTGTTTTTTACAATGACTAAGGAGCATGGAGAAGATGGAAGCTAGAAAAGCTAAATTTTCTACAGTGAACAAGACAGTCCTATACAGCAAACAACTGTGCAATCCAAATGCTATTAGTAGTCCACTGAGAAACACCAAAGAAAGGAGATACAAATCATAGTAAAGAAAAAGACTGTATACCATGTGGGTAAGGTGCCAAAAATAAAAAATATAAATGAATGCATTTGGGAGTATAAAACTGAAACAGAAGGAAATTACTAGAAATAGCATGATTAGATTTAAAATTTCCAAGATCTCTGTTTAGGGAGACCTGTAAGCACAAAGACAAACTGAAAATAAAGAGAAAAGATAAAGCAAAGCAAACAAAGTCAGATAGGCACATTAACATCAGTATAGATTTCATGGCAAAACCACTATTATAAACAAAAAGGATCACTATAATGATAAAAAGGTCAACATGCCAGGAAGGAATGACATTTCTAAACTTATATGCACCTAAGAACACAGTTTCAAAAGACATACAGATAGGCATGGTGGTGAATGCCTGTAATCTGAGGACTTAGGAGACCCATGCAAGAGGACTGCAATTTAAAAGACCACCATGGACGCACAGTGAGTTCAAGGCCAGCCTGGACTATACAGTGAGACCCTCTCCACCTCAGCCCAGCTCCCCAAAGATATAAAGAAAAAAGGGAATGCAGCAAGGACAGACTGCTAAACTTACTTCATGTTCAAACAGTTTCAAAGCCTTTTGTTTTTTGGTGGTAATGGTGATTGAACCCAGAGCCTCTGCACTGAGCTACATCTCCAGTCCTTTGATTATTTATTTTGAGACATGGTCTCACTAAATTGTCTGGGCTAGGCCTGAATTTTTGATCCTCTAGGATTACAGGTGTATACTACCACACCAGGCTTAAAACCTTTTAATAACAGGACAAACAGCTAAATGATTAAGTAAAAAGAAGTACACAAATAACTACACAAGTAACCAATGAGTTAACAGAGAATATAAATTTCCTCCAATTACATTTATAAAAATGGACTCTACCCTATGCCTGTAATCTCAGCACTTTAGGAGGCTGAGGCAGGAGGACTATATATTTGATCCCAGCATGGACAATACCGACACCTAGCAAACCCTGCCTTAAAAAATAAGAGGGGACATGGTCCCATATGGCTCTTTGCAAAGGCTCTGGATCCAATTGCTAATACTGCAGATAAGAAACAAAACACTCCCCCAACCAAATGACTCCTTGTAAGAAGGTCAAATATCAGTGAAAATCTATCATAAAGTATATTTTTTGGTATCACTATAATTCTGGAAATTCAGTCATAAAATAGTAAGATAACCAAGATATATCCACAACTATGGGATAAAAAAAATCCTCTTGTAATCATAAACAGGTTATAGGTGAGAGAATAAAAATACCATTTTGATTAACTTATCCTACCGAAATAATACGATCTCCTTTCCTGAGCTCTCCACTGAGATCAGCAGGTCCTCCAGCCAAGATAAAGGAAATAAATATGCCTTCTCCATCTTCACCTCCTACAATGTTGAAGCCAAGGCCTGTTGAGCCACGATGAAGAATAACTTTTCTAGGTTCCCTAAAAGTCAAAAAAATATAAAAGTAGTTTGAAATTTAGTGAGAACTTTCTACTGATAAGTCATATTATCAAGCTATTACGAAAGCTAGATGAACTATAAAATGTTTTTCAAAACTGAGGGGTAAAGAGATGCTTTCTAAGCCTAGAAATCAGAAGGATTAAAAATCCCACTTAATATAAAAGCCCAAAACTTATGTTAAAAAACAAGCAAACATGAAACCAAGTCAAAAAGGAGAAAAGAATGTGAAAACATAAAAATAATATAAATAGCCTATGAAGAAATACTTATGGAGAGTTGCTGTGCATGCTACACTGCCTATGAAGCAGTCACTGCCCCCACTTCTTAGATGTAAAACGCAGCTATCCCTTCTTTCTAGAGGAAAGCAGGTCCTTCTCCAGTCCCAAAGGGACGAATTGTGACTAACCAAAACTAGTCATTTCAATTCCATTCCCTTTGTAAGGGCAAGGTCTGACCTCATTCTGGCATCTGAGAAATGAAGGGAAATGTTTCAGGTATTTCCCAAAGAAAGACTCTGCTAAGGAAAAAGTGCATCTACTATTCTCCTTTCCTCTGTCCACACCCTCCTTACCCAAACAAATGAACTTTTAATAAAACCCCTTTCCTTGTTTGGACATGTAATTATGAAGGTAAAACCAACAGTGTACCAGAGACATCATGGGCCTAAGGTTGGGACACTAACTTTGTAATTTCCCAAATATAGATTAAAAAAAGGAAATAATTAGGTATCTTTTCAAGCTGTGGTGCATACCTATAGTCCCAGCTACTCAAGAGGCTAAGTGGGAGGATAACTTAAACCCTGAGTTTGAGACCAACCTGGGCAACAGAGGGAGACCCAGTTTCAAAACAAAACGAAGTCCAAAACTTTTTTAGTTTAGCCACTACTAGTGACTTACTTACTTATTATGGTTTTTTGTCAATTCTAATAATCTAGTCAATTCCAAAAATCTTTGGAATGTATCTTACCATTGACAATTTTTTGCAACTGCTGGCGGTTAGATATTTATATGGGAACTATTCATACCTTTTAGTAAAGCAATAAAAATGCCCACCAACAGCACAGTTTAGATTTAATGAAATATAGAATATCATTTGAGATTATTTTGAAATAAAAGTGTATTTGTTAAATATTTGCAAAATTTAATGTGATTTTTAAGGCCACATGTGGTGGCACATGCCTGTAATTCCAGCATTCCAGGTTTCCAGTGAAACCCTGTCTCCAAAAAAAAAAAAAAGAAAAGGAAAAAAAAAAAAATCTTTCCCTATAATACACAATCTTCTTCTTCTTTTTTTTTTTTTTGACATCTAGAAGCATTTATTTTATGCAAAAAAACTTAAATATGATCACGTGTACACGAAAGTGCACACACCACCTATGCTGGA